TATAAGGTGCCAAACTTACGAAAATTGCTATTTAATTTGTCTTATAATGTGCGACTTTGCAAACTAGTAAAAGTGTATCTTTTCAGAAAATTATTTCTCCTCAAATCCTGGATAGATGTTCCTGATTTTTTGTTGCAAGAAACTATAACTACTGATTGTTAAAATATTTTGATACATAAGACTCTCACTTACCTACTTGCTTCGCGAGAGTCGTACGAAAATCTGCTATTTACGGCAGTTTCAGGCCGCCATTTTGGACCCGTCAAGGTGTAAAATATCGATGGGCCAAATTTTACAAAAAAAGCTTTTTAACGCAAACCGATTTCTTTTTTCATACAAGTACCTAAAAGGAAAATTATTGCGAAAAATTTGAAGACTTTCATATTTCCTTCCAGAACTGGGTGCCCGGTTTTTACAGAGACAGCCTCTTAAGCGTGTTCTTCACTTCACCATATCGTAACGTACTGTAGAGCATTTTCTTTTCTGTTGAACTCATTAGACATTAGTTACTCAGAATAACAAAAATATACAGCTACGTTTCGGTACGATACACGGTTAAAGTGAAAAACATGTTTTAGTTTTAAAATATTGAAAGAGACATTTTAACCCGACTCAGTTGGATGCGCAGTATAGTTACGCCAAACTGGCTTATTGGAATTTAGTAAAGAATATTGAATAACTTGTTGCTTTGCCAGTATGGGGAAACGTCCATTGAGAATTTCGAAGAAGCTTTCAAGACTGGGTTAAACATATGGATTTGACTTAAAAACACTGTACTGTAAAACCACAAGAAATATTATGACCATCTCGAAAGACTGTGAGTGACTTACTTGGCTATTAATCGTGCTTGGATAAAGGCTACGGTGTTGTCATCGTTGAAAGTATACGTCGGCGTTTGCGAACTTTTGCTGTATGTCACCATATCATCACTTATGAGAATGATACTTAGTATATATATTTGTTGGGATTCAGCTAATGTGACTGATATATGGGAATAATGGTGTCTTCTACAAGCTTGTTGCAGGTTGTTTATGTTGAAATATCGATGATAGCGCGGAATACCAACATTAATGAAAATGGTTACTTGAATACGTCGTACTGTAAAGCCCAAAGAAAATAAATAACTAAGCACATCGAAAGATCGTGAGTCCTTTAGATAACAATTGGTGACATCATTGAAATTCTACGTCTATACGAACAGTTCCTGTATCGTTCGATCCATTGTACAACGGATGTGGTAATGATATGCGTGATATATATTTGTTGAATGACATGCAAAATAATGGATTTAAAGCTCGTGATCACATGCGACTTATACATCGTGAACAATGGCAAAGCTACTTTCTACAAACCAATTACAGTTGATCTTCGGGGAAAATCGATGATTTGCGAAAGCGGAACAAGATACAAGATTTCTTAAAAACATTGTGCTCCAAAGCCACAAGAAATACATGCACTATCATCTCGACAGATCCTGTTGTAATTGTTGAAATTACTCCCGTTTTACGAATCGTTCCTGTCGCATCTACGACCTATGATGCGTCAACATATTAGGCCGTAGGATGAGCATCCAAAAGATGCTTAGAAAACGGATTCCGTTGCACCCCTCGTGTAACTACGTAATTTTCACATGAATAAATAGATAAAAACTTACTTTATCAGAATCCGTTGCTCCCCAAGCGAAACAGGTGCACAATTGGGAGAAAAATCCCTCCAAAGTTTGATATTTTCGCGCTTCGAAATATTCGAACCGCCATTGTTTTGATAGCAAATACGCATGCGCAACTGAGCCAAACTCGCACTGCGCACGCGCACAACCAACGCACATGCTTCGAAGTGGAAACACGCTCAGTTATGCAAATAAACATGGCTGAAGATATTTATAAAACTCGAATATCCTCATGTTTTATGCATTTTGATGGCGTTACGGAGCGACTTTGCAAAGTTACACGCCAAAGGCTTAAGAAATTTCTTGAGTGTAGGTCAAAATGGGCCAAACTTAAATGTCAACAAGTTGAAATAGCTAAGAAATCGTACGAGAACATCGATGACGGATCTGTCAATTCATACATGGAATAGAACCCTGATACCATCAACTTAGAATGGAACCATCACATGAAATGCTGGAAGAGATTTTGTGATGAAGAGAAGATCTGTAGATAACAGAGAAAAGAAGAAAAAGGAGAAGGAACTAGCTGTAAAACTGTAACTTCTACCGAAGAATCACACGTGGACGTGGAGGCAATAGAACCAAGGCGAAAAATTACACGTCAATCAGTCGCAGAAGCTATAAATATAAAGGCCCTGCCTAAAAGAAACGCGCATGTACTCCCAGAGATATGTATTATTTGTGGAAGAGACGCCTCGTGGGTCTCACTAGACAAGGTATGGTCATTTTGATAGGTATAATACTAGGGCAATGTGCACAACATTCTCAGGTTTGGTTTTAAAATATATTGAATTGTGATCAATTAAGTTTACTTAGGGTAAAGTAGTTGCTATGCTACAAAACATCCAACCTTGTTATTAGTAGATATTTAGTTTAATAATTTATTTTGTTTCACACCAGGCAACTAAGAAGAGAAGAAGAACCCCACTCCGCACTCATGTTGGCAGAAACAATTCATGCTTGTCTTCTACGTACAGCTGCCGAGAGAAAGAATGATCAACAGATACTCGTGCAAATCCAGGGGAAAGACTGTGTAGCTCTGGAAATCCGCTATCACAAAGATTGCTACTGCAATTATACAATATTTCTCACCAGAGAGACGAAGAAGCAACAAGAGCATCAGTGTACGAGAAGTCTTATGATGTATTCTGTAAAAAAGTAATTGAGATGGAGGTCATCGGAAATAAGCAAATAAAGTATATGAAAGATTTGCTGGAGAAATTTTGTTATCATTGCTAAGGACACTGAGAATATGGATGCATCTAAATATAGAGCTTTTAAACTCAAGCAATGACTGATGAAAAGTTATCCCCAACTTGTGTTCTGTGTACCGAAAATGAGAAATGTTAGTGTCAGTGAGATTGTATAATATGTGGAAAATTTGGATTCTTCTGAATTGGTTGAGGAACATATGTCAATTAAGGGCCTGTTTATATGGAAGTCGGGCTGGCCCGCTTAGCGAAACAGCCCGGTAAGCGGGATGAATTTCTCTTGTGTTTATATGAGAAACTTTCATCCCGCTTGCCGGGACGATTTTGTTACATTGTATTGTTTTGACAGTTGTTAAAAATAGATTGCGGCGGTATCTTTGAACTTTCATCCCAGCAACCGGGATTGCCCGCTTGTAAATGTTTATATGGAGAAATTTCCATCCCGGTAAGCAAGATCTAGCCTCTTTCAACAAGATCTCGGCAACCGGGCCGGCCCGCTTGTCCATATAAACGCATAATAATTTTTACTATAAAAATAACTACACAGCGAGATCTCGCTTACCAGGCTGTCTCGCTTATCGGCCTGGCTTCCATATAAACAGGCCCTAAGTCTGAAAACAATGATGAGGACTTTGATGAAGAGAGCTGTACCATTGATTATGATGATGTGAATTCCAACACAGAAACTGAGGGAAATTCTAAAGTCAATGAGTTACAAATTCTATACAATGCTGCATTGATTCTTCACCAAAAGGTGCAAGAAATACCAAAACTGAATCTTCCTTGGCCACCATTGGCATCTGATTTGACAAGGGATAATATTTCAAATCCGACTACGAGGTCAGGACTAGACTAGATTTCAAGTCCACACAATTTGATTACATCCGAGGCAAAGCAGAGGACTGGATCAAAATGTGAGGACTTGAAATCTAGTCCAGTCCGAATTGGAGGATTTAAAATGACATCTCATACGAATAAATCACTACTTAATTAATTTTAATCCAGTTCAAGGACTGAAATAATTTTAATCCAGTCCTAGGACACTACAGGATCAATATACTTCATAAGGGATCTAGTATTATGCGAGTAAAATAAAGCAATATGGTTGGCTAATTGCTCATGAATTATTAATGATTTGAGGTGAACAATGGTGGTAATGCACATAGATATTATCAGTGGAGTAGATCAGTATTTATTTACTTATTCGATATTCTCAATCGGATCCACAGCATTTATATTATCAACACATATCCCTCTCATGGACAGGGTAACAGTATGGTCATGTCTGGGAAGCTAAAACGCACCCTGGTGGAGGAGCTGAAATGCTGAATTTGGTAGGAAATAATTTGCTTTCTGGGAAGCAAATTTTGCGTCTGCAATAAAAGCCAATTAAAAATCACGAACATTTCCGCGACATTGTTTCTTACGTTTGGCCAAGGCTTTAAGTTTAGCGAAATATTTCATTTGTTCCTTGATCGTGTGAATTGTATGTATATATATTTTTCATTTCTTCGTCCTGTTTTATACAGGTGGGTTTTTTACCTCACACAAATTTGTATTGAATTAGGATGTTAATATAAAGTATAATTCAACGTTAAAACGGTATTTTGAAACAATAGCCAATGAATTGAAGTGATTTAGCATATGAGCAAGCAAAATATACAATGTGTTTTTAACAATATTTAATGTGGGTGTATTTATATTACAAGGTTTATCAGTATTCCGTGATTTTATTTTGTTGTTTTTGCGGAGGAAATCGGGGAAACCCCCCAGTGAGAATCTATTTTTATAGTCTGCGCGTGCGCAGTGCGAGTTTGCCTGAGTTGCGCATGCGTATTTGCTACCAAAATAATGGCGGTTCGAGTATTTCGAAGCGCGAAAATATCAAACTTTGGAGGAATTTTTCTCCCAATTGTGCACCTGTTTCGCTTGGGGAGCAACGGATTCTGATAAAGTAAGTTTTTATCTATTTATTCATGTGAAAATTACGTAGTTAC